AGGAACTTTATAAAAGATGAAGCAGGTTTCTTGAAGATGGTTTTTAACAATCTCTGATGTCTACATTGGATGAGTTTAAAATTTATATCCAAATGTGAGATTAAAGAGAAAAATGAAAGCAAAACGGAGCAAATGTCACGTCATGCAAGTGTGTGGGAAATGCTCAGTTCATTGCAGATCATAGAATGAAATGATTATTTAAACACAGCATTTGAGTGTTATTGTAAGATTGGTATGCAGTCAAATATATGCACATCAATGGATCATATGAGTACCATTATTAATATTCATGTATGGATATGTGCCACCATATGTTACACAATACACATCATTTAATGAATGTTGGACCAGGCATACAAGCTTCTATGCATACATACAGACACACTGACAAGCAACAAATTGCCTGCCCCATCATCATCTTCTTCCTCCTCCTCATCAAAAGGGAAAGCACTGCTCTAATGATTGATGAATACTCTCAGATGTGTAGTAAGCACACACACGCGCGCGCGCGCACACACACATGTATATATATAAAAGCACACACAAGTTTTATCCAATCACAATGTAGTTTCAATAGAAACATAACAGATGTTTGTACACCTGAGATGCTTGCCTCCAAATTCAAAATAACACATGACTATCTGAACATAATTACTATCCTTACCATCAACTTTTTCTTCATAATAAAATAGCATTATGAATGGCAAGAATTAAAACAGTTCTTTATGCTTAAAACACACTGTATTACAATTATATCACAATTACATATGCTATTTGCCAGACAATTCTTTTAAAGCTGCTTACTAAATCATAAAGGTGGAGCACATTACAATCTTAATATATTGACAAAAATTTAAAAAAGAAATGGAATTTAGAAAAGTGAAGATTTTCAAATAATTAAATAAAACTTTTGCAATTTATGAAAAGTTAAAAAATTATCTAAAAGAAAAAAAATGAAAAAATTAATTTAAAAAACATGCAAAAATAATATATAATTAATATATAATTTAAAAACAAGACTGATCTTAAAAAAGACAAATAACCTGTCCATGTCCAGCGTTCATCAATGGAGGCACGTAATGGGTTGCTGGTGAAAATTGTGATGGATTCATATTGTTAAATCTTGGAAATCGTTGCAGTTGCTGCTGTTTCATCATTTCCTCATGACTCATTTTAGAGTAACTGTTAAATGTATTTGATGCAAAATCGCTGTCATCAATTGCTGGGTATCCATAACCGCTGGAGCGAATATTTGTGGCATTGTTGTTGTTCACATTCATACGCGGCCTCATCATCGAATGATGTGATTGTTGTTGTGTACTGTTGTAATTTGTAAACTGTTCATCCCTGAAATTAGGAGGATCACATCTGGCAGCATTCTTCCCGGTCGACATTCCGTTGAAAGAAAATGAATGTCCAAGCGAATAGCCACTTCCACCCACCATCGGCCCAGCAGATGGCACATTATCTGCCATTTTTCTAAATCTCTAAATATTCGGTCGATTAAAGACTAAGATTAATTAAGACTTATTAAGAGAGTTTGACAAATGTGATCTACTACAGTTCACGTATTATCAAATCAATTATCCTTCAATTAATTAATTTAAAATTAAATAAATCATTTATATAAGATAAAATCTGAGTAATTCCAATCTTTAATATTATATTGGCCTATTTTATCCAACTCATCATTTCGCGTTAATTGTGATCGTAACCGAAATAATTATAAATGTAATAAATTAGTATCCAAGTGAGGACAGGGGTAGGGAGGCAGTTTATTCCATAGATTACTACAATTGAAGCTGAAGCTTTATTAATTTTAATAAATTAAGAATCGTGTTATTTAATTTTTTTTCTTGTAGTAAACGCTTTATAAATACCTACTTGAAAAATTAAATTTGATAATAAAATTACAAATAAGATCCTTTATAAAATACCAAACAAATCACGACATTATTAAACAAAAAGTTAAATTATTTATTTTATTCCAATGAACACGAATCGCAGCTCAGACAAACAAAGACAGCTTATTTTATTTACAGCATAAAGAGAGCTAAAATGCGCCATCTATTTAACATAACAGTTTAAATTAATTAGCGCTGAAATAAAAATCTAAAATGGAGCTCAATATAAAAACGAGATCTTCGCACGTGCGTACGACGACTGAAAAGTTAATATAATTTTGACTGAGAAGTGATCTGACATCATTTTTGGCCGTACACGAGCCTCTCCCTCTGGCTTCATTTATCATTGCATACCCACGCCGATACCCGCTTACTCATGTTTATTTATACAATGTAGGGATGGCTGAGTTGCATGCTGCATGTAACAGTTTCATCAATTGTGATCAGCCGTTACAATTTTGATGAAATATACACTTACAATTTGTTTTTTCCAAGAAAAAGCTTAGCGTTTTTTATTTAAAATTGTTTTAGTAGCTTGATTTGTTCATTAAAACTTAACGCTAGGGTAAACTTACGCTTACATCATTCAAAATAACCTAAAATGCTGGCTGCTGTTACCTTTTTTTGTACCAACAAACTAATGAACGTATTGTACCACAAATATGAAACTTTGAAGACTTTCTGCTACAATTTTGCTTTTTAACGAAAGTATGTGTCCTACATTTTTCTTGGCTAAACTTATTTTAAGTTATTTCAAGTTCCTACCTATAACTATTTGTTTTTTTTATTTTAAGCCCATGTTCTAAGTATATGGTTTTGTTAATTTGTAAATTATTTACAAATGTTTTTTTTTTTCAAAAAGTTTTATTCATTATACTTACTCGCCATAAATCTTTGTCTGTAATTATTTTTTTAATCAGAAAAATAATATTATGCTATTTAATAAAAATTACAGTTGAGAAGAATAGTATAGTATAGTATAGTATAGTATAGTATAGTATAGTATAGTATAGTATAGTATCTATACAGATGAAAAAAAGACCAAAAAAGGAAGATACAGCAAAAGAACGATAAATATAAAAATTTTTTGCTTAAAAAGCAACGATGGCAAGATAAGGTGAAAATTTTGAAGTACAACACCAAAAGCATTATAATGGAAGTTTAGGTAAAAAAACAAAAAATGCATGCATTTATTGTATTAAATAGCTTGGTCAATTTTGTATCAAGATATCGGGCTGTTTCCAAAGAGTATCTGTACTTGAATGGTAAAAGAAAATTGATATCTGCTTCGTCAAATCACTATCATTCTTTATTTCCTTTCAAGTGTATTTTTCCATGAAGAATTGTTTAGCGTTGACTTCCTGTAGCACACTGTTTCTGTTTCAAAAGTTTTCTTCATCTGCCATTATATTTATTGATAAAGTTTTAAGCCTTTTAGTTACTGTTGCTATGAAAGTACCTACCGCTATTTGTATTAAAAATGATGTCGATTTTTTCTTAATAAACTTAAAACGGAAGAAAAAGCAATTATACAAAAAATAGAAAAATTTAGCTACAAAGTAAACAATGTTGGAAATTCCGTTATTTTCTATATGTTTTATAACTGCATCTACGGCAGCCTTAACTTAAATTATAGTTTAGTAGTTTTACTATTAAAAAAATTAAAATTTACACACTACAATCAATAAAAGATTACAGGTGGCAAAATAAAAAAGTTGACATCTTGTAGGTTTCACTATGGAATTTCAATACTAAGAAATAGCATGTTTTGACGCAAAAGCAAATCTTTTTTACTCATCCAAAGCACCTAAAGATAACAAGAACCTATTTTTTCGTTTTTTCCAGCAAATTTATTCATTACAAAAAATCATGATGAAAAGGATACAAAATGAGTAGAACTCTTAACTAAAGTATCACCCAATTGACGGTGAATTTAAACTCAATTTTCCAGAGGTCAATATTATCACGCAATAAACCAGTGATCAACATTAAAAAAAGTATAGATTTGTTTTTTGGTCCTAAAATCCTAACGTCCTCGGCGGGGCTCCATTAATTCACTTATTATTGACAACTCCAGACTTCAGAGCAGAGGATAAGGTTTTTTGGATTACTTTTGACACTTTGTACTGGGCAAATCTGATTGATTCAGTTGTTACTAAAATATCCAGATTTGTCGGCATGTTCTGTAAGTTAAGAAATGTACTCAACAAACCACACCTCAATACAGTGTTATCCAGAGGGCTACGAAAATGGTAAGAACATGTTCTGGCATGTACTACGTGGATAAGTTAAATGATGTCTATTCCTGCGTGACATCTTCTATAGACAACCCCTTACTCGTGTTTTCACCGAACAAAGTTGTTTATTATTTATAATTTTATTTGACCAAATTTGACCATATTAACCAGAACCTACTAGACTTATTTTCGCATATTCAAGACGGTTATCAATCACGATATTCAAAAGCTTAAACATTCCCAATTTAGGTTATTTGTTTTAAGTGTTTACCACAAAGGATGTAGAAACCAAAGGTACCATAGCGTCTGGTCCAACTATACGGAATAGCTACCTTTGAAAACTTACATTATCTTGAATTAATTCACACTACCTAAGTTGCGCCATTGAGTAGTAATAAAGACTGCTACATAAATTCTTCAATAATATTAGACAGTTCTTAATGAGGTTAGCTTGAATAAGTTAACTGCACCATGACGAACGACTAGCTATCTCCCCGATTACACTTGATAGCACCGATGCAACCATGAGCTAAAAAACCCCAAAGAAAGAGAAGCAATGACGTCACACACCAATCATAACTGATGCAGAGGGACTTTAGCGGATGGTCATTACAGCCTAAAAATAGTGCAATGACGTAAGTGCTTCCAAGCAAACGTTCAGATCACACGCTTCATATGTGCAATTGAATGACTACAACTGGCACATAAATATCTTGCGGCAATGGCGAACGGAACATGTATTTATTATTCTCAAAATTCTTAAATACAACAACCATAAAAAAGAAATCATAATAATTTATTTGTTATATACAAATGGAATGATAAAAACAAATTTTGATGAAAAAATATAAATATTTAATCAAAACGTTGCTTCATCATTTGAACCATTAGATTCGTCACCATAATCCTCCCCATTGTCAAAATAATTTTCCACATAATCGTTCTCCTAAAAAATTAATAAAAAAAATAAAAATTAAAAAAAATCTAATCAGGTAGTAATATCTAAATACCTCTTCGGCATCCTCATCTTCCTCTCCCTCCTCTTCTTCTTCTTCGTCATCATCATCATCATCATCAGGTTTAGTTTTTTTAGATGGTGATTCGTCGTCTTCCTCATCACCTATCACCTCTTCATTTGATTCTAGTTTCTGAAAATTACAACAAACCATGGTTTGTAAGAAGGAAAAAAAATCTGGCTTAGTCAGAATTAGGCCAGTATATTATTAATCATCATATCATTGCAATATATATATTGATATGTATATAAAGAACTATGGTCTGATTATTAATCAAAATTTCAAACGGCTGGAGAAAAATTAGATCAAATAATAAAAATAAAGATTTCAACAAAAGAATATTTTGAATAGTGATTCTTATGCATAAAAAGAAAGTAGTATGAAATTGATATAATACATAACAACTCTGCAATAAAAACCAAATATGAAGAAATTAATTAAATATTATCATTTCACCCCAATAAAAGCTGAAAAAATAATTTTGTAAAAAAGTTCCAACGTAGAATAGTAAATGCATTCAATAAATTAAATGTTTATGCTAATATTTTGACGACTGTATTTATTATTTAAGTTGCATTAACTACTGCACAACTGCCAGAATCAGACATTTCAAGTTTCATAAAAATAATAGAATCATCATAACAACATATAGTGTTGCAGCATCAGTAACAAGTGTACAATACACAGCTAAAAATAAAAGTGAAGCGATACATTTTCACTCACACATATTCAAAACTTTTTCAATTGAAATTGCTTACAGTAAAAGTTTGACAGCATTGAAGATATTTACTGCATAAGCTATTCAACAGGCTACAAAAAACAAAATGTGAAGCACAAAATGGAACAAGACAAACGTTGAAAAAGGTGATAGGTCATGTATAATAACGTGCTAGCAGAAAATAATTTGTTTACTTGTAAAATGTCTACGACATCCACTTTTGAATGCCGATTGGCATTTTTTCTTTTTCCTTTTATACATTTTGTATGTAACTCTTTTGGCAACTGCGAGAAATCTAAGACAATAAAAAAAATTCATTTCTTATAACAAATCCTGACAATGAAAACCAAATAGATTAATGAGAAAACAATTGCATACCAGGCTGCCAGTCGGATGCATTTGAGGAGCTATATTTATCTGTGTATCTATCTATATCTTTCCTAGATGTTTCAATCTTTAGATAATATTGTGAATCTTTAAAATACTGCCTATGGTCTTGTTTTAATTTGAGAATGTAGTCATATTCAGGTTCTGTTCTAAGTGGTAAAGGAGTGAACGATAATTTCTGCAAATAGAAATTTATTTATTGCTAGCCATCACTAACAATTGCAACGCAGTGCAAAATGTGCCCAGCAAAGTAAAAAATAAAATATTAAAACTTTGATGTCTTGAAATGAAATTAATTAAAAATTCAGACTCATTAAGTTCCTATAATATTTCTAATATTTTTCTGTTTATTGACATATTAACACAACACACTTTAGAGACTTTAGAGGAATCAATGCACAAACAGCATAAATATACAATTATAAATTATACATACAAAATGTGCCAAACAACGCATAACGCATAAACCATGTGATATGAGGGGATCATTTTGTCATTACATTCGAACCAGGCAACTTAAGCATAGTGGCATTATGGTTACATGGCATTCCCACCACCCAGTTAATTAAAAATTATATAATTCAAAATTAAATCAACTCTTTTATAATAGTTATACTAACTATACTATAAAGTGATAAACTATACACATCATATTTATATTTTATTTTACTTTAATTTAATATTTACAGCTTACTGGGTAGTTCTGAGGTGGTGGCTGTGATGCAGAACTGGACAAGTTTTCGCCTTTGTTAGCTCTGAAGCCCACAAAGTTTTTTTTAGACGCTCTCCACGCCATATTTCTAAAATAAAATATAAAAGTAAATTAATAAATTAATTAATAATTAATTTTAGTGAAAATAAATAAAAATAAATAAAATTTAAAAAATAAATCGACAAATAGTGTGATTTAAAATAAATGAGAAATAACTTATAGTGAAACAAAATTTAAGAAGGCTTTACTCACATACGAACATTTTTTTAAATCAAAAACGATTAGTATGCCAAATTTTTATTTACCAGTGGAAAGTACACGCGGTAAGTAACGACGGGTCGATGGTCGCGAGCATGGATATAAATAAATGGTCATATTATCCTTGGTCGCGACCACATAATTAGAATATCTACGTTGAAAAATTGAAATGAAATTTAATAGCAATCAAGATAAAGTTAATCCACATATGTAAAAAGTAAATTAATTGAATTTACTTGTTTTTCGCTGTGAGAGCACAATCTATAGAATGAAACTATAATAAGAAAAAGGGTTTTTAACCGTATACTTAGAATACCTAATATACTTCAACAAGTTTCAACAAAATATATACTAAATTATGCCCATCATCATCTCCCTAGCTTCTCTCTGACTGGTTGCTTGGACAAAATTTGAATAAATTATTTTGGACCACCTTAGCTGCTAAACCTTCAACTTAATAACTGCGACTGCACGTGCACAGTATCGTCTTTCTGGGTATTCATCGACCTAAGCAACTTATGTCTGACCGTTTGTTTTTGGTCAGGCGTAAAACTCATTAATATTCATCCACAGCTTCTAGAACAACAGATTTCATGGTTCGTTTTGACAACTAGCCAGCCGCATATAATAAATTATTATCATTAGATTTTTATTTTTTTGAATTAGTGTTTTGATAATTTAATATTGATCATTAAATGTTCTATTTATTATTTTGTCGTTTTCGAAATTGTAAAGCTTACGTTTAAATAATTCATTTTTAACAAATTCTTTTATAATTTGCAAAACCAACTTGCACATGCCCATATTATTATTATTATTATTCTTATTATCATTACTCAAAGTACATAAAACCGGCACTCAGCATGCTAACGATCCAACAACAAAATGCAGAACTCCGCTACTCCGTTGCCAAGGGACAATTAAAGGTGATCAAAGACCAGATTCCCGTAGCTAGAATTGCTCACTGGTCGAAATTCACCGCAAACATCTCAGAAGTACTGTTCAAATTTGTTAGAAGTCTCATTCAACAACTCCCCACAAATGCAAATTTGTTCAGACGGGGCAAATCATCAACGCTGACTGTCCATTGTGTAAAGCGCGACAAACAAACAAACGTGTTCTGTCTAACTGCAGTTAGGTGGCAGCACTGAAAAGATTCACAACGCGTCACAACAAAATTTTAAACATAATTATAGAAAGGTTGAAAGCATGCGCGGGTCAAGAGGGTTCGATATATGCCGATGTGGATTATGATGGGATCCCTCCAGTGTCTTGTCTCTTCAAATCCCTACGTCCTGACATCGCAATACTTCGTGAAGACATAATAGAAATATTGGAGCTGACGGTCTGCCATGAATCCAACCTACTTAACTCAAAAGAATATACAAAATACTCAGAAAATCTCAAAAATAATATGCATGACAATTCATTACACCTGAAAACAATAGTTAATAGTTTTGAAATTTCAACATTGGGTTTTTGCAATTTTTTTAAATTTTTCATTTATTAATAACATTTGGTCAGATCAATTTTATAATAACCTTATTAACTCTGTAATACCGTCATCTTATACCATCTACTGTGAACGCAATAACATTTGAACTGTTCGTTTAAAACTAACTATATCTCGTTGTACTCGTTTATTTCAAATGATGAGCATCGTAGAATACTATTATATTTAATTTTATTTTATTTTATTAGATTTTAATTAGACTTTTATCTCATTTTACTATATTTCATGTTTTTGTGGAAATAAAAGAGAGTTCACATTATTATTATTGGTGTGTTTGTAAGCGCCCTTTAAAAAGATCTCATAGGCGCTTACGATTATTGTAATGCATTGCGTTGCACTTTACTAAGGCAATGCAATGAATAGAGAGAAAAACATTAGCACGGGTAAGCATGGACAAAGAGATGGTGTTTCAACCGCGTGCTGGCGGATATGTAACCGACCGTAAAAGTTATTGTTAGAACTTGGCTTTTGGTCGAAGAAATTTCTCCGTAATGGGTCCTGCTGTCTGGAATGGTTTGCCTAGGGACCATGTCGTTGAATCAGTTGGTCACAAATATTTTTCAGGATGTCAATCAAAACTTTACCAAACTTACCACGCGACTGTTTTTGGATGTGGTCTACCAGTCGGTAGTTGGATGATTTTTGAAAAAATGATTTAACAAAAGTATCATTTTCGTTGATTACCATAATTTTTGGAGTCATTGAATGGACACATGTGATTAACATATTTCCAATCCGACCAACAAATGAATTCCTCCTAGCTGCTGCTGAGGGCGGCAACTTCAACGATCCCAGACACTCTGCACTTTACTTTTCCACCGTGTCTGACTAAAGTTTCATCCTGCCTCAACTTACTTTTTCACCGTGTCAGACTAAAGTTCCATCTTGTCTCAACTTATAGCAAACATGGCATCGGGCGAGGTCCGACGATTAACACACAAAACCTTGGTTTGACATTCCGACGACAATAAATTGAGTGACAAAATACGTTTGTTCATCTAGTTAATTTACATAAACAATCTATGTGATATATGACAAATAAATATGCCTACAAGAGGGCGTTTAGGTTCAATTAATATATCTGATAAATACTTAGGAAATAATTTAGATTGAGACTTATACAAAAATGTACAAATTTTAAAAATTATTCTATATTACTAAGCTTATTATTACTATCATTCTTGTTAATATTATTACTAAACTAATATTATTATTACTGTTGTTGTTACCACTATTATTATTATTTGTACTATTATTATTACTAATATTATTCATTATTGTAATAATTATTATTATTACTATTATTAATAATGTAGCGATACAGAGTACGCATTTATTTAATATTAGTAAATGTAGAATACATTGTGTGCCTACAACCAAAATCATAAAAACCAAATATTTAAATAAAAACTATGAAAATTAGTTAGACAATAAAAATTAAGTTAATACTTGTTAAAAAAATGATTTCTATAAAATTAACAAAGGATTAAATTAAAAAAAATTAAGAAAGCCTGAGAACCAGAATCGTCCAGCCTATGCGAAAACAAAAACGTATGTATATGTGTGTGTGTGTGTGTTTGCGCTTGTGTATTAAGTGTACTTCGATACTATTGATGTGTGTGTGCGCGCACGGTGTTTCAAAAGATTTGAAAGTTTAACACGCCCACATTTGACGTAATTTGAAAACAAATTTAAATTTTGCAGAGACGCTGTTTGTTAGCCGTTTAAACAATGCTTCTTCCTATCGAAACAATTTTCATAATTATTCTAAGTAATGTATTTTATATTTTTCAAATTGTTTTTCAAAGTTACTATTTTCTCTCGGCGCACAATGTATTTATTTTTAGTGGTTAATCTATAAGATTTCAACTTTGCATGTAATTTTGCGATTCCAACTGCTCTTCAACCTTTTTAATAAAAACCCACAGCATTTATTAAACTTCCTCTATTAAACTAATAAATATTTGATATATTAAGCTTAACAGGATATTTTTTTCTATAGAATCATCTTACTCAAGTAGAAGTAGTAACATGAACGAGGAACTGCAAGAAGCAGTTTTTGAAGAAGTTTTCCAATCACCTCCATCAGGTAATGTTGTTGAAAAACAAAATGCAGCAAAACACCTGCAGCCGGCTCCGTTGATGAAGATTGGACTCGGTCGTGACAAATATATGCAAGTGGTTGAATTAGATTTGGACGCAAAACCGGAAGAAGTCGGTGAAAAAAATAGAATGTTATATTCGTGCAAGCACAACAATCCTTGCCAAGGTTATCACCTTGAAAGAACTTACTATGCAGCCTATAGGCCAGCTCTGTTTATACTCTGTTACAAATATGACTACTGCATTGAACTCTCCTGTCCGATGCATTTCTACTGGAACAGTTCCCTGGCAACATGCGTCGATGCAGAAGGTTGGTTTGAAATTTTGAATCGATGAAGTTTGGAAAATTAAAAATTTTTTTTTCATGGAAACAGAAATTCAGGAAGTGCCTGATTACAAAGTAAGCGAGGAGGCTAAGGAACTTACTTCCATCAGAACAAGGTTTTATTAAATCACATTTTGTTTCACTCCAGTACATGCTTCATAAACAGTTTTTATATTTTGTACGGAGACGCGCCATAAATAGCTTATTTAAATGTTAAATTAAATTTATAAAATTTAAAAAATAATAATATTTCCACATAACACTTTATGAACTGGTGAATGGGAAGATACGACATGAACAAGTACGACTGCGCATCCAACTATCCGTGCAAGCATGATACATTTTTCAGTCCCAAGTCTGTTTATAGACATATCGACCCAACCAAATTTATATATTGCATCTTTTGGTCATGTGAAGAAGTCGAATGTCCAGAGGAAATGTTTTGGTTCCAGGATATACACAGGTTCCATCAATTTTTTTTGCAATTCGTAATTTTTTTGAAATTTTGGTACCATTGCTTTGCATGGTTTGTTGATACGGACAGATCGCGGTGACAAACAGCAATGCTAATGCATACAAAACTAATTTCAAACTAAATTTTTTACCTAACAAGTCGTAGAACGCCGTTTAACAATCAACCAACCAATCAATCAACCGAATCAGCTAGCTATCAACATGCAAAATAACAAAATCAAATTATTTTTAAATTGTGTGTATATGCAATATAATAAAGTTCTACAATATTTGCTCACGCGAAAAGACGACGATTTTTTGTATTTCGAACACGCACTTGATAACAAAATGCGTGGATGACTTGCATGGAATAATTTATTTTGAAGCTACAATGCTTAGAAACACATTCATAACAATTCATATTGCTACGAATCTGATAAGAAACACATTCATAACAATTCATATTGCTACGAATCTGATAAGAAACACATTCATAACAATTCATAATGCTACGAAGCTGATAAAATGTTTATGCAAAACATTTTTTGCTTTATTAAAGTTTGTTGCATAATAAATGTTTAATGTTTTTAAAATTAGAAACTTACATTAAAGAGTTATTAAAATTGAATTAAAAGATGTTTAATAGCGGTAGACTACGAGAAGTTGAAAGGATTTTTGAACGTGGTGGAAGAGAAAGAAAACCACACTGAACACATCCATGAAATGAAATTCGGATTCTACAATAAGACAATCGACGTGGATTTCAACACTAGCTACACGCACGAAGATAACAGCACACATTCCGCAACGAGTTTAAATTCGAGGAGAAAAAAGAGGAAAAAGAGAACAAGGAAACAGACGGGATCGCTTCTGCCACTTCAAACATTTCCGACAACATTTCATGAAAGTGCCACAAGCTGGGGCTGGGGCTCTTCAGCACATGTTCAACATTCAACGAGGCTAACTTCTAACAAGCAGACAACTGTCGAGAAACCTCCTACATCGACATTTCAAAAAGGGTACAGATCCAAAAGAAGGAAAGCAACACAACTTGAAAATTCAACAACAATAAAAACAACTATTCGTGTAATATAACACATGAATAATGTGCTTGGAAGAAAAAAACTACCAATTCATCCCTCTATTTATTCATCCATTTATTTGTTCTTCTATTTATTCATTTAACTTTTCATTCATTCATTCATTCATTCATTCATTCATTCATTCATTCATTCATTCATTCATTCATTCATTCATTCATTCATTCATTCATTCATTCATTCATTCATTCATTCATTCATTCATTCATTCATTCATTCATTCATTCATTCATTCATTCATTCATTCATTCATTCATTCATTCATTCATTCATTCATTCATTCATCCATTGATAGCAAAAAAAGAAAAACTATTAAAACTTAATATGTGTGAAAAGAACGAAAACTTCAATGAACAAAGTATAATTTTAAAGTAAAGGAGTGGAGTGTAAAGAAAGAAGAAAATGTTGTTACGTTCATAAGATCGTTATTGTTTTAAAACAATGGGCAATTATTTCAATGGTTTGATATCACTTCGGCCGTTCTGTGTTGTCGTTGAATAGTTCGCTCCGTCCACCGGTTAATAAGCTAAGACTCAAGTTTCATAACACTTGCTTCGAGACGCAAAAATACTGACGCATCACAATTTAATTCATGATGATTGTCTAAGCCAGCGTGGGTAATGAAATATTATGTTCAGCAACTGGATGTTAAATGAAGTGCGTTCAGTGGGACTGCTGCAGACGTTTCTTTTTTTATTATGTATAATGCAGCTACGTCACAAACAGAGCAGCTTACATATTATTCTGTACGTGTATAAAAAATTTTGTGTCACAAAGTTTGTACACTATCCACACCACACGACGCACATACACATTATGTATGCACGCCAAACACTGCAACATACGCGTATGATGGTTTTTAGTTGTGGACAGACAGTATTCGAACCATACCATTGCGTAATAGCAGCGCGAGATATGGCACTTCTACCGACTGAGCAAACTCGGTGACCGTCGAAAAATTTAATTCTCTTAATGCCGAGGTCATTGAAACTGATTTTAAACCTATTCTACAGAGAACCCTGGCTCGACATTCTGTCGACAATGAATTGAGTGACAAAATACGTTTGTTTATATAGTTAATTTATTTAAACTATTTATGTGATATATGACAAATAAATATGCCTAAATAATAGTAGTTATAAGCTATTTCTACCAGCTTTCAGATAATTCGTTATTCATTTGCATAAATTAATCGGCAGAATGCATCAATTTGTTAAGAATTGCTGAGAATTGTAAAAAAATTAGATTTTTCACAAGATGGTTTGTGATAATTAAAATTGTTCAACAAATCATGAGCATTATGCACCACATTACACACGCTCCTTCGCTACACCACTGATGCTGAGGAATATTTTATATTTTTTAAATAGTAGTAAGAAAAGAAAAAATCCATATTGATTTTCCAAAATGTAGCGTTATATGCTAATCTTTAAAGTGCGATTTTTCAAAAATTTGAGCTCGTAAAAAAAATGCCATATTTGAAATCAGGGCACCGAACTTGTAAAAAACCAACTCAGAATATCTTGGTACCAAGATGGTTGGTGCATTTTCAGCTTAAAATAATTCACACCATGCTATGCAAAGGAAATTCTTCAACATAATAGGATCATCTTAAGGAAGAAACGAGTGCCAAGATTATTATCGCTCACACCGGTTATTAATTTTTTAATCATTCAAATCATTAGAACTACTTCACATTTAAAAATCTCACTAATTGGGAGATTATATAAAATAAAGCTTGCTTTGAAACGTATCATCCACTGCGACCACGTTCAATTGAACAGCTTCGTGAGAGCTCACCATTCATTGGCTTTTCGTGCTATACAACTTATTAAATGTTTGACTGCATAGTTCTTTCATATATATCAAGTCATGAACCATTTACAAACATCGCTCAATCGCGTTACAGCCTGACTTAAGAATGAACGAATATACAATTGTTTGAAAAATACATTTGCGATTCAAATTGTTGAAATATTTCACGGTGAGGCAACGCTAATACAACGACGGCAAAGTCAAAACAGCTCTCAATTTGATCCACACTCATATATAAATTTAAATATAAATACACGTATGTATATACAATATATACAATCGCGAGCGCAGAAGTGTTTTATGATTTAAAGTTCTTTTTACATATTGAAAATCTCGCCATAATTACTTGAAATTTTAAAGAAAACGTTCAAATAAGCTCACTTCAGGTGGTGATATCCCAATACTGTGCGTAGTAACGCCTGTAGGTGGCCAGCATAATCAAATTAGATATTCAAGAATTAATTAATTAACGAAATATAACTCTTATTTGTAATTTCTACAAAAGAGGTTCTACTAAAATTAGTTTAAAATAAATTCATGTAAGACGTTTATGCAATGGATAGACGAACAAGCTTGACGAACAAAGGTCTTAATTGCATTAAAAACAACAGTTTAGAGGGCGAAGACATAGAAACAAGTTTAAACAACAGCGGAAATTACTCCATTATCAAAAGTAACAACTTATCCACAGAAAACATCGAAGATGGAAGCTATTTGGAGGGTTATACATCAGTTGTTAGCACTAGGATGAAAAGACTGGAAAAGATATTCGAAAATCTAACAAATCGGAAGGAATCATTAAAAAACGAGATCAACGTCCTAAAAACAAATATAACCAAGGTATTTTAAAACTATTTATCATCATGTTGCTCTCTTTTTTACGTGGTTTAAACGTTTTTAGGTAGCGGAAAAGATGCACTCAAAGATCGATCAAGACTGTTCCGATTTGCTCGAAAAAACAGATACGTACTATAAAAACGAAGAGCAGAAATTGGACAAGTTACAATCTCAGTTGATGGAAAGCATGAAAGCCGCGGAGGAATTCAATAACTTTGTCCAGCAAGTCAAACAGTCATGTTCCGTTGAAGAACAAAACGAGCAGCAGAGTGAGATAAAAAGCAGACAACAACAACTTGATTCAGTGAAGCATGATGTTGCTTTCGGCTCAATCAAGTTTTTCAGTAATAATGACGTTCTCGGCAATATTATTGGAAAAGTCAAAATCAACGATACAGGTTTTTACTATCATTTCTAACCCGATTTAACTGTTAAATACGAATAATTTTTTAAAAGTTGAAAATTACTTAATTCGTTTTCTCGGCTAAACATTTATCAACTGTATACGTATTCAAGACACTTCAGATCCATACGCTGATCAGCCAAAAGAAATTGGTTTGATTGAAGGCAACCAAATGGTAGCAGGAGTTACAATGTTGAACGAACGAATATATATCATCAGAGAATTGCTGCCAAATGTTGAGGTTTATATGGCGGCTGATCTATCCAGATACAAAATGCTCAAACTGGAAGGTAATTTATTACTATTAATAAGTTGTGTATATTTTTTTATCAACGAGTTAAACTCTCACAGGACTCAGAAAACCTTCAGACATAACTGGTGATGTTATCTCAGGTCATGTATATATAAGCGATGCCGTTGGCTCCATCTACAAGTTGCAACCAGACGAAAACGTCCTCACAAAACTTCCAGTTGACGGTAAGTTATTTAGTGCCAAGTATAAAAAATTCATTCACTAATGCGACATTATTTAAATTAATTATATTTAATTAATTATAATAAATTGAACTCATTCCGCCAAAGTGTTTACGACGTATAAAAATGTTATTTCATGCAGTATCCGGAGAGCCTCAAGGAATCTTCGTACTACCAGCAGAAGCTGCGAATGCAGGCAATCTTTTGGTCACTTGCTACGACTCGAGACAGCTGAAGGAATTTACACCGGCCGGACAACTGGTTAAATCAATACGCTTTCAACAGGACGTGTTGAGTCCTTGGCATGTTGTGCCTAGTTTGAGAGCTGGATGGTTAGGCGGAGGAGATGGACTCGTGGTGAAGAAGTACGCACTGTGCCACGGCTGGGAAGGAGGTAAACAGCACAGAGTATGCTTGATCGACGACAGTGGCAGAAATCTAAAAACGCACGGTGCTTCGAACGGATCGGGTGCAGCCAAATTAGACGTTCCCTCAAGGATGGCCGTTGATCCGTATGGTTATATTTTTGTGGCAGATCGGAACAACGATCGAATCGTTCTTTTGAGTCCTAATTTGGTGTACGTGCGGGACATCATCAGCAGATCCTACGGAGCCAGACAACCACGCCGTGTGCACTTGGATTCGCTCAACGGAAAGTTGTACGTTGGTTTGGTAGATGGATCTGTCAGAATTTTTCAACTTTCTGACTATCAAAACGGCACATAATTATCACGAGTTAATAAATGTAAACACAACTATATGAATTACTTAATTATATTTTGCAAGGACTAAGCATTATTTATTTTAAATTAAGAGAACGATATCCTGGCACAAATTATTACTAAGTATTTGTTATATGACACATTTTCAAGATGTTCATCTCAAAAATATATAAAACTTGCTTTGAGGAGAGAAAGAATTTTCACGAGCAAAAAAATAATTCACACACATACATGCACGCACATACATTCAAAATCTAGATGAAGTAAAGATTTTCTTAACAGAAAGTTAATGCATTAAGTTGAATATCGTTGTAAATATGAGCGAGCAGAATGAAATAATCCACGCAATCAAATGGAGAAAAACTTAAAGCATTAATAGAAAGATCATCTCTTTTAAAAAAAAGTTTGATACATAAAGTTATTGCTGGATTTTAAACTAATAACAAAATGAAGATAAACATCAAACCCAAACCACGCACTAATCTCGAAGAACAAGACCAACTGCGCCAGCAAAACATTGACCAGACAAAAGCGAATTCATAATTATCAACGAGTTTTTCATTTATAACACGGACATAAGAGTCTTGGAAAAACGTTTTTGGATAGAAAATTAAATTTTTCTTCTATAAAAATCTCAATTTTAAACTATTATTATTTTATTATTATCAAATATAATTCTGTATGAAATAAGAAAACTTGGATAATCCAAAATGATAATTCAATATGAAAATAAGAAAAAGACGTAAAACTTTTCTTTAAAAAAAAACATAAAAAATGGTTGTAATAAATGATGAATTTCGATACCATACAAATATGACTTGTAAACGCAACACGCAAGTTCAAAGAAACGTACACACGCAGAGACGTACACACGCACAGACGTACACACGCACAGACACAAAACAAACAAATAGCAAAGGCAGAAATAAAAAAGTATCATGTAGTTTATGAGAAAAATAATAATTTCTTCAGATAAATGTAACAACAGATTCAATGCAAACGATAGCGAACAAAAATTTCTCTCACTGGCGCCATAAAAAGGATGGATAGTCAGCTTGAAGCTTACGTGAAACACTTCATTCAATATAAGGCAATTACAAGTTATTTTGCCGTGTGAATCAGTGCATCGTGTTATTATAGGCACTAAATTGTTTATAACACAATTATTAATTCATTAAATAAATTAATCGCGATAAATAAACTTCAACCAAACAAATAAATAGTAATAATAACAATTGAAGTCCCTAGATTTCATGAAAAATTGAAATTAATTACTCTATTGAGTTTTCGTACATTGACATTTCAACCAAACGACGAAACCATTGAATATCAGCATATAAATAATAAATTGATCAGCGGAGAAATTCAGCGAAATAAAGCAATGATTAACGAGTTGTTGACTTGTCTTCCGAAATATTTCTAAAGTAATTCCATGTGAATAAAATAAAAGTTTTTGACTGCAAAGTAAAAAAATAATAATTAAATGCTACCAATAAAACATTTTAATCATCTCTAAAACATTTTCCTGCTGCTCATCAAATATAAGCTCGATCATTTATTGGAGCGAATCTTTATAAGGTCAATCGGCCAGCAAATCATCCAACAAATCAATCAATCAACCAACAACTGACCGACCAATCAACCAACCAATCGAAGAATCAACCAAATGTCAATTACTCAATCAGCCAGTCAATTAAAACTACAGTCATAAAACAATAACATTCAAAACATGAACGTAATCAACATTCAATCAACTCACCAGAAAAACACACAGAGCAATCATTCAAAGAGCCAGCAACCGGTCCTTCTTCACTATGCCGATCACTAAGCTTAGACGAACTTTTTCAAAAAATCAGTGAAAAAATTAATCACAAAACCAACCAATCACCAAACCAACCAATCACAAAACCAATCATCATTCACCAAGTCAATCCACTTAACAGGCAATCTAAAAGAAAACATTATTTACAAACAAAAAAAATCTAATGGAATCAGATGGCAATGAGATGATGATAGTAAGCGTAAAAATTAATAGAAATTTAATATTACATTACTATAGAAAATAATTTAACGCATAAAAATATAATTAACAAGTTGAAATATATCACAAGTTCGAAGTTTTATTTTTTGTTCTGCCGCTACTCCTGCCCCCTCTGCCACCCCCTCTGACGGCGGGCTCGCCACTGGGACCTGCTCGTAGGACGTCATGGTGGCTCGCGGAAATGGATGATATACCCATCTTCATCTGATCCTAGTGGTATTATTCAGCAGTGTGTCAGTTCAGTCCATATTCTAAAGTTGCAAGCTCTCAACATTTTATGAGGCAATTCAGCAAACCATGCGTAATTTTATGATTTAACAAAGTCGTAATTTAATAGCAGGCAAGCAAAAGTTTCAATCTACAAGTTTAAATAAGAAATGCAGAGAAATTGAAATAAACACACGCCCCAAAGACAACACACAATATCTTCACAAGCATTTACACTCCACGCACGCACGCACACACACACACACACACGCACACACACACCTGCTGTCTTTTCCTCCTCCGCTTTAGTGACAACTGTCGAGCCTTCTTCAGCTTCGGATTGCTGCTTGGCGTGTGGACGGCACAAACCTGTCGTCCATTTAATACAGTTGCACTTTTTAATACAAAAATGAATGTACATTAACATGTATGAACATTCTTAACGCTGTGGCGTGAGTAGACGTATGCTGTGTGTTATACATTTCGAAAACAAAAAGTGGTTAAAGTTAAAAAAATGAAATGGATCTTTAATAAAGAAAGCAGGTTGCGAGAAAAAAAAGTTTATTACTCTAGTTTTAAATTGATTGGACTTCTCGGTTTTAAATTTATTGTAACCTATAAATGGATAAAATGTGAACGAATATATATCTCTCCTCAATCATAGAGATACGTTCTATCGTATTTATAGGCGCCGATGCATTCCATTACAATCATAAGCAATGATACTTTTCTATCGTAATCATGAGAAATATTTTCTATCATAATCATAGGCAATGATACTTTCAATCATAATCCCGAATGGTTGAGAATTGAAATTTAGACAGGGATTGTTTGAATAGTATTTACATTAGCAGATAACACGACAACAAACACTACGACGACAACAAATACTACGATGATAACAAACAACGCGATGATAACAAACAACAAGATGATAAAAAACAACAAGATGATAACAAACAACAAGATGATAAAAAACAACAAGATGATAACAAACAACAAGATGATAACAAACAACAAGATGATAACAAACAACAAGATGATAACAAACAAGATGATAAAAAACAACAAGATGATAACAAACAACAAGATGATAACAAACAACAAGATGATAAAAAACAACAAGATGATAACAAACAACAAGATGATAACAAACAACAAGATGATAACAAACAACAAGATGATAACAAACAACAAGATGATAAAAAACAACAAGATGATAACAAACAACAAGATGATAACAAACAACAAGATGATAACAAACAACAAGATGATAACAAACAACAAGATGATAGCAAACAACAAGATGATAAAAAACAACAAGATGATAACAAACAACAGGATGATAAAAAACAACAAGATGATAAAAAACAACAAAATGACAAAAACAAAATGACGAAAAGGAACCTTGATGAAGAGTGCCATGAGAACAATCACACCCACTCCCGACAGCAGCACCACCCACCAATACTCCTGCACGTAATTTTTTAAAATTTCGAAACAAATTTTCAAGAAATAACAACAATACATGGAGGACATTTAACTGTAATATTCAGCAGTGCCAGACATTTATGATGTTGGGACTGCCCGTTGCACGCGAGTAGCATGAAGAATAATGATGAGATAAAGATTAAAGAAGAATATCAGTAGATGAATTTGTAATTTGTTGGTGATCCCATGTTCAACGTTTGATGAAAGATTTGATGGAAATGGTGCAAGGTGAATAGGAGTGGAATGTTTAATTTAAAAACTGTGGTAATAAAATAAGATAGTTAAAAAATGGAAGTATAAATCTGAGGTGACATATGCTCTATATAACTGGCGAAGAAAAAATGTTGGAGAAGAAATAACGCGTCTTGAACACGTTTGCAATCCTTAAGAAATGAACGGAGGAAAACGAGGCAACTTATAACAGTAACTTGTTAGAAATTCTTAAACGGATCGCCTGATTTTAGTCAATAAATAACCACATGTAGCCACATAAGTATATAAGGAAGAAACTTAACAGAGGCCGAACGCTGGAATGAAAAAATATAAAATTTTCCAACATGAGTGCGACGTTGATAAGAAATAATAAACAAGTCGTGTGGAGTGGAAAAGCTGAGAATGAATGACAGAATTAAAGAAAGCCAACATAGATATGAAAATGTGGGAGAAGACGATTATTAACATTATCAGACTACATTTCATAACTAAAGGTGACAGCCAATCAGTAACAGACGATGGATACACCATGAAGACGAACATTGCCACCGACCACAGCACAACAAACATCAAACACGGACAACAAAGAACTTACAGTGACCCACTGCCTGATGTCGTTGATGGTCTTCTCGTTGAGCAGCAGGTTCTTGAGTTGCAGGAGGGGCCCGTCCTCGTTGACGGGTCTGCATTTGTAGAAGACATCACAATACCCCTTGTAGTTCTCACACGGCGTTCCTGATGTTGCACCATGTTAGTAAATTGTTCGTTTCATAACTCTAATGGATTAACATGAAAGGCAAATATAAAATTATTCCCGCACTGAACAAACGGAGTTACTTAGATTTCATTAAGTTAGAGAAAGGAACATGAACTACCATTTTTAGCCGTTTTTTCGACAAGCAAATAACTTGCAACTGCTTGTGAAATAAATTTACTCAAGTTCAATCGTATCTAACAGATTACATTTGACTGAATGAATTGTTTCAGATCTAGCATGTACTTTATTATTGTACAAAGTCCATTCCATCCATCCTTTCTTTCAAATTTTCGTTATTCATAATGAGTTCTTAAACTTTAAAAGACAAACTTATAAAGCTGATGTTAAAAAACTGTACAATCCGGGTAAAAATTCCAACAGATTGTTCAATCAACCAATCAGACAGCCAGCGAGCCACCCAGCCAGCTTGCTAGTCAATTAATGAATAAATAACAAACAAGCAAACAAACAGACAGACAGACAGACAAACAAACAAACAAACCAGCAGGCAGTCTAATGCCGAAAACTGAAGATTTGGATGAGACGCCGGTGACGAGGTCGCTGAGTTGTTTGTTGGCAGGTTGTGAAAGTTGGTCCTTGTTGCCTGTGCTGATGCAAGAGTTCGTTTGAGGATCTGCTCAGTTCAGTTGACATTTTAGTTCGTTAAAAATTGTTCAACATTAATTAAGTTCGTTGAAAATAAATTAAACTGAATAAAAAAAAATCGTTTTTAATCATTCTATCGTTTTTATAATTAAAATTCAATCTTCTTTGAAGCATTCAGTCAACATGAACGATCGACTCCTTCGCTGACTCAACAACATCAAACACTCCGACTAGTTCAAGTGAATACAAATACAAATTAAAACGATAACTATGAATTCTAAAATCAAGACTGAAAGTACAACATTTAAAAACAAACAAACAAACGAAAATGAATGAAGCCCTCATTACTTAAGCAAGACACAAAACAGAGCAGGCCTCTGTCAAATGACTTGTCGCCAGGTGGGGCCTGTGAGGAACACTCCGACCAATGAATTTTGTTGCATATCGACTGAGAGCACTCCTTCGTAAATTTCCATTGATAATAATATTAAACATATTGTTATGTACCAAGCAGGCAAGCAAACAGCTGATAGAGAAATATAATTACGAGTTCCAGCTCCTTCAAAGAGTTAGTAATGACTTTAATTGCGTTGATCGCTCATATCACAGTTCAGTTTAACAAATATTTTCAATTTTTTATTATATGTGTACGATTTAAAACAATTTAAACGTTACACACGTTAAACGTTAAACATTTAATTTACACACACACACACACACACACACACACACACACACACACACACACACACACACACAAATAAATATTCTAATTAAAAACAAACACACACCAACACACACGCACGCACATGCATTGTAGTTATCATACTCAAATCCAAAGAGATCACTAATTAATTATAAGAGCCAAGGTGCGTTGTTTCACTTGTGCGCATATCAACAGATCAATGAATCAATAAATTGATAAACAAACTAACCAACCGACTGACCAGCCAACCAGCCAGCCAGCCAGCCAGTCAGTCGGTCGGTCGGTCGGTCAGTCGGTCAGTCAGTCAGTCAGCCAGTAAACCAACCAGCCAGTCAGCCAATCAGTCAGTCAACCAGCCAAGAATTAACCAACCAAATCAACCATCCAACCAACCAACCAACCAACCAACCAACCAAACAACCGGCCAACCAAACAACCGGCCAACCGACCGACCAACCAACCAACCAACCAACCAAACAACCAACCAACCAACCAACCAACCAACCAACCAACCAACCAACCAACCAACCAACCAACCAACCAACCAACCAACCAACCAACCAACCAACCAACCAACCAACCAACCAACCAAACAAACAAACAAACAAACAAACAGTTAACACCAAGAAACAACAGACCCCTTTGAAGCAGATGCGAGTATTTTCATTGCATTCTGAACCATCGGGCTTGTAAGGTGGCTGGGGACATTTGGCTTGCCTCCCAGTAAATAACCTCAGGTTAAGGATCATGCAGGATTGTTTTTATTATTTTGAAAAAAATTTCATTAAATTAAAATTTTGAAATTTTTAATGCACTCAAGAAACAAAGGATATTCACAAAAGGCTTGTTCGGTGCAATCTGTTGACTGTTTGCAGGACACATTCCTGGCTTGCTCGATGAAGCTGCACGTATCGGCGTTACAACATGGTCCCTCTGATTTGCTGGTCAATTTAAATGTTATAATAAATTAAGTTATGCTCATATTACAAGCTCTAAAAAAAAGAAATTAATTAGTAAATGTAATTCATTTGATACTTATCAGAACTGAAGATGGTG